TTCTCCTCTCTCCTTCTCTCCTCTCTCCCTCTCTACTCTCTCTCTCTCTTCTCTCTCTCTCTCTCTCTCTCTCTCTCTCTCTCTCTCTCTCTCTATCTCTCTCTCTCTCTCTCTCTCTCTCTTCTCTTTCTCACAATATTCTCGACTGTCACAGCGTTGTAGGGCTTGCTTCCAGACAGGTTCAAGCGCTCACCACTCCGCAGGCCCAGCCCACACGGCCCAACCGCTCAAAACCCTCCGGCGGATGACTCTGACATCGGCGACTGACCCCAGCCGAACGATCGCGTCCCTCTCCACGCCTCCGCCCCGCTTCCCCCACTACAGCTGCGTAGTAATTGTAGCGTGTGCAAGGTCACGTGACTACATTATTTACTTCTGCGGCTTGTCGGCTGACAAGAGATGGCACTAGTGGTCTGTGGATCAGAGGCGGGGCTAGGTTCTACGACTTCTTGGGGCACACTTTAGGCAGAAAAGAGGTTTTTGGCTCCCCGTCCCAAAATCCTTCGAATATACAAAAAACAAGTTAGATATTCGAAAATCGGAGGACCAAACGGATCGTTTGACGTATCTTGCGCGACTGAGAATTGATCGGTCTTCAAACTACTGAACAAAAACGAGGTGATTAGTAGCAAGTGCTGGTGACTGTACCCTCTTGCCCTTCTGCACGTGCAGGGCTCACTATCTCGCTCGCTCGTCCTTCGCCCAAAAGGCGTTTTACTGGTGAGTAGTACGCCAGTTTTGTTTTGCCTAGCTTTATCACGATCAGGGGTCGAACGACTGGGGATACGACAGACCCCTCCATGTTAGCGGCTGTGAAAACCTCAGTAAGGTCGAGGGTCAAATGACAGTGCATAAGCCAGCGCCTCTAGCCGGGAACGCAATAGTTTAGGCTAGGTAGATGTCGCTCCTGCTCCCGCTGCCTTCTTTCTAGCAGTAACAGCGTAACCGACGCGCTGGGATGATTCGACGCGCTGGGATGATTCGACGCGCTGGGATGAGTGAATCTCAAACAACAGCGACCGCATCTATAATTAAACACAGTGCACTCGCAGATAAATGCCCTTTTTCTATTCCGTCATTGCTCAGAGAGCTCCGATTGACATCCCAAACGCCAGGAACGGATAGTGGGCAGGGAAAATACGTGTCCTTTACAGTGTTGTTTACAACTTCAAAAATCACGCGAGCATCTGAGCTCTCAACCCTTCACTTTGGTCTTAATACGAGCGCTTTCAGTCCCCAAAACCGCTATCACGCCAGCGTGTTTTGTATTATCACGTCACTGGCTCTGAGTAGGTACACAGTATGAATGAGGCATGACCCTGCGATCACAGACACTGCTACACAACATGACACATGACGTCACCGGCCGGCGGAGGGCCGGGGTGACTCCAACGGTGAGAGCGGGCTGACCTGGGGTTCGGGATGAGGACGGTGCCGGGACGGGTTAGTTGCGGTGGCCGCCACGGCCGCCGCCCCAGCCCCCGTCACCGCCGCCTCTGCCGCCGCCGCCGCGGCCGCCGCGCCCCCTGCCGCCGAAACCTGCCGGACGGAGAGCGAGTCAGTGAGGGCAGCCTGTAACGGCTGTCAACGACACCTTTATTTAGTGCACGAATACGCGCTAGGGAAACTATTACTAAGACTCATCTGAGGTGCAGCGACTATACAGACGAACGGTAAGTTGTTAACGACAAACAGCGGACTAAACAAACGACAGGTCACTGGTCAGCTAGCAAACAGGTAATAAACACGCACACGGTAACACAAAACAAAACGTGAAGCAAAAACATCTCACGTTTCACGACATTGCAGACACCATTCGGCCCCAAATCTACCATATCATTATCAATAACCTACTTCAACCCGTTCTAATCCAAGCCACCCGTCAAACTTTGGTCAGTCCCGGCTCACCTCCGCGCTGCCCCCGGCCGCGCTGACCGCCGCGACCCTTGCCGTCGCCACGACCGCGACCCTTGCCGACCACCTCCTCTTTGACCAGGTCAATGACCTCGTCCGGAATACGCAGGTACTTGATGGTCGAGCCCCGCACGTAGCACTCGGGCATCCTCCAGAACTTGTCACCGTCCTAGAGGCGATGGGGAGGGTGTAAGGTGGCAGCAAATGTGACCGTGGATAAAAACAAAATTGAACAAAACTGTGGGAGTGAGGGGAGGGGAGGGGAGGGGAGGGGGAAAGGGGAGGGGGAAAGGGGAGGGGAGGGGAGGGGAGGGGAGGGGAGGGGAGGGGAGGGGAGGGGAGGGGAGGGGAGGGGAGGGGAGGGGAGGGGAGGGGAGGGGAGGGGAGGGGAGAGAGAGAGAGAGAGAGAGAGAGAGAGAGAGAGAGAGAGAGAGAGAGAGAGAGAGGAGAGAGAGAGGAGAGAGAGAGAGAGAGAGAGAGAGAGAGAGAGAGAGAGAGAGAGAGAGAGAGAGAGAGAGAGAGAGAGAGAGATGAGTCATTCTCACCCTTGATGTACAGATGACCTCTCTCATGTTGATGTTCATCCAGTTGTCACAGCTCACCAGGTGACCGTTGTACGTTTCACCATTTTTCAGCTCTACCAGCTGCAAAACACAATTACAGCTATGTCAAAGAGATGATACCTCTGGAAGTACCTATAATAATAACAAAAATAATAATGTTCATGATGCAAAAATACTGTAAGGAGAAGAATGTTAACACTATAAGATATTCAATGATTTGATTAAAATAATCCCAATTAGCTTAATAAAATTTGCTTACAGTAGGTACCTAACTCTTTTACCTGAATAATGCAATAAACTCAGAGTGTAATGTGGTACTGATAGACATATTGCCTGATATTATATATCAATTTAAAAGAAAAGAGCAAAACCAACACTCACCATAGGATGGCTTTGGGCCGTTCTCAGCAAAGAGAGTGGCAACTGTAACAAATAAGTTGGCTTAATTAGACAGCAGGTAGGTACCTAATAAAAGGTGATAGGCCAGAACATCTCTTCCTAAAATTTCATCATCATCCCCACTATCTAATCTGGTAGGTAGCTAACAAATGTCTGCTTGATGCCCACACCTGAGTTTAGCAGGTAGGTACATACCCATTAGGTAGGATGGGTAGGTACCTGCCACCAGGTCCAGTATGTACATAAGTACCAAGGGGCGAGGAAACTACTTTCAGACTGGGGCCCGGGGGGCACACCATAATAGGGATCAACCTGGGGTACCCCCAAATCTAGTTTTCTCACTGGCTCTCAGCCACTTATTTTTCATCCCTTGACTTTTTCAACAGAGAACGAAAAAATTTGCATTAAGTGTGGTATTCCATCTCAAAGTTGTGGGGACACTGCCCCCACGGCACCAGAGTTGGGGGCGGGGGGCAAGCTACCTCCACTGCCCCCCGTTCCCGCACTTGTGCAGGTACCTTCTTAGGAGTTAGGACTTCTATTGCCAGGCAAGAGCATGGTATAAAATCTTCTGAATGTTAACAAACTCGGCGAAAGGTAGAAAAAAGGACAAGCTCCAAAAACTTTGTATCGTTGCACTATATCAATATTGCCAGCGAGGACAAGAAAAACTTGAAAAAAAAACAAAGAAAGTCATCACTTACCATGACTAATAAAAACTAATGTGCTTCAAAGCTAAACCTCAATAAGGATGCCCAGCAATATTATTGGCAGCGCTTATCTGCAATTCTTCTTTGTTATTCTATTTTTCCAATAAACTCAACACTGATACACCACAACAACTCTTCATCAATATATAATATGCGATGTGTGCGATGTGCAAAACAAGCGTTTACGCTAATGGCCATATCACACCGATCACACCGTATTTCTTGATGGAGCAAGAGCTTCCAAATGCTTTTTTTATAAGACAAATTTAGGCTAAAATGAAACATGCATTTGACACATTCAGTGAAACAACAATTCAGTTCTCTGTTTACTGCTCACATTTCTGTAGTTGCAGTATCATCAAATGGTCCATTTACATTCAAACATCATAAGCTACAAATCTACTTTGCATGTTTTTCATAAATATTTAATTTTTATGGCCACAATAACTTAGTTTTAATGCTAAAAAGAAATCCGTTTCCAAAATTTGTTCGATCACGGATCACAACCGAGGCCGCCCATAAGCGAAGTACATTTCATAGTCTTTGGCCATTCTTTGGCATGCTGTTGGCGAAATTGTATGCGTTCTTGGGCGAATCATGAATATTCCGCCCAGTTGTCGGAAACGGGCTTGTTGTACTTGGCTGCACTCAAAGGCCAACGATGCGATGCGATGCGATGGTTATCGGAGGTTTGGCCTTTGTATCGGCACCTCCTTGACTTCTTAAACTTTAACTTTTACTTTGATCGATGGGTTGCATTGTTATGGTTGGTTTATGTGGCTAGGATTCTCACTAGGGGACAGGATTGGGTGTTGGGAGGATGAAGGTCAATTAGGATGGGGGACTAATACTTTGGCAGACCAAAACCGGGGTTTCTACACCAAATCTGTGATTGCTGTCTCACCAAATATCGGCATGTCTTGCACCAAATAAATTACAGGTTATTTGAACCAAAACCAGAATTTCTGCACCAATCTAGTCTTTTCTACTAGATTCTGGAAGGTTGCCAGGTATTTACGTTTATGTGTGGATATCTGCACCAAAAAGCGTAACAATGCACCAAATGTAATTTCGCCGCACTAATTGATTAAATGATTAGGTAATACCTACACGACTTTGCATATGAGTTCGGCAGAGCCGCCATCCCGCATCACCTTCTTGCCCAGAGTTCATCATGGCAAGAGCAGCTCGTTGATCAGCCAGATCAAGCCTTGGCCTCGATGCTTTTTGGAATTGGCACTTTGGCTGCACTCTGCCATCCTGATCCTGACCACTACTACTAACGCGAAACTGAGCGGGAGTGGTCTCGGATTGAAACTCGCTCAAGGAGTCATCCGATTCATCCATTGCTGGCTTTCCTCTACAAGACAACTGCAAAGCTAGAGTCTGTAGGAGAATTGATTTGATTATACACGGGTTCGCACTATTCCCCGAATTTCGAAAAAGTCCGCACTGGGAGACACAGCTCAACGAACGACGCGACACTCAACGACCAAAGGACCGAAGCAACCGAGGACGCTACCGAGCCGAGGACGCTCCATTTCGAAGCGTCGCGGCACGCCGAGTCGCTGCCAGCGCTGCCAGATATTCTACTGAAATTATACCATTTGATCCAGTAGATAAAACATTCCTACTAAAATTGGTGCATTCTTGCATGTATTTGGTGTAAGGAATTCACTTTTTGGTAAATTTGTGCTTCATTTGGAAGGGTTTTCCCTGAAAATGGTCGAGTTTCCTGAAAATTCCTATTTTGGTGATAAATGTTCCTTATTTTGGTAAAACAAATTCCTGGTTTGGTGCTAACTTACCAATATTGGTTTAAGATGTCACATTTGATGAATATTTACAAGATTTGGTGCATTTTTACACTTTTTGGATCTGACAAAAAATGGAAGCCATTAGGATGGAGAAATTTGTTTTATTTCCAGGCCAACGTGATCACAACTTTAATCCTGAATGAATCAAATGCGCAATAGTTGTAGAATATCAAGGAAGAGGAAATGAGAATTATAAATTTTTGCCAAAAATGACGTATATTACAAATAAAATGATGAATTGCTGGTTGATTTCAAAAGATTTAGCACCAAATATCCTTAAAGTAATAATTTTATTTAAAAAATTGCAGAAAAGTCTCTCTAAAAAGCACGTTTAATTATGTTAAGCAGATATTTATGAAAATTACATCAAAGAATTTTTAAAATCAGACTACAATAAGATGTGACTGGTGGCTGGCAAAGCTCTTGCTTTGCGCATTGGCTTTGCTCTTGGCTTTGCTTTTGCTCTTGCTTCACAGTCCAGCGCTTTGAGTCCGATGTTCAGAGATATTTGGTGTTTTGGGGAGAATATCATATGTAGCCAAGGATATGATATGTAAAAGCATTGGGCATAATTATTGTGATATCGGTATCCTGTAATATCCAGATCCAATCACAATTGGACATTTGTTTCTGCTGGAGGTAAGGTGAGGTTATGTGGGCATGGGCTTTGGCTTGGCACTTGGCAGGACGTTATTGCTGTTCTACCACTGCTTTTCTTCATTTTGCAGAATTTGTGACAGTTCCCTGCTCCAAGCATACTGCATGAAGGTACTTTCTACTTTTGGTCATGATGTATGACTGCTATTACAGCTCTACATGACTCGAAACTGCTCTATGCGGTGTAGGTGGTGTGTAACCAGATTGGAAAAAATCCATACACTACGCAGGATGCCTCAGAGACTGATACACCTGTGCACCGAAATTTTGGCAGACGCAGTTACGCAGAATGCTGCGTCAAAATTTTGGAGCAATGCGTCTTGTTACGCTGCCCGCCGGTCGCTGTATATGTCAATGGTAACATGTACAGGTCTTGCGAGATTAAGCGGTAGGTTTTGCACTTTAACATTTCCGGTTATATCTCAGAAACTAATTGATCTATGATGAAGCCATTTTACATGATCATGGCTGGCTTATTACCCAACAAGTTGATGGCATCTTCGACACGTAAAAGCTTAAGACGACAACGATATAGCCTGAAGTACACTAAATTTTCTAGGTGCAAAACCTACTGATAAAACCTGCGAGACCTGTACATATTTTTTTCCGGTCTGGGTGTGTAATATGACTAAGTAACTGCAGAGTCATTGCATACTGATTAGGTGTAGAAGCTGAAGCATCATAAAAAGAAGTGATAAAATACTGCTGAAAATCAGTCATCTCTTGACTGTTCCCTAGTGATTGTCTGTGAATTGCTGCGCGGTAAATAATTTCCTGAGGACTGTTCACTAGCAATTTCCTTTTATCAGCATGCTGCAATTTTCTGTTTCTCATTGGTGATACTCAGGTGGTCTATGCTTATCACCAATGAGGTCCGGAGATAGGTGGACACTTTCCATATACGGTAAAATCAGCAGATTACTGATAAAATAAACAGAGACCAAAGAATGCTCAATAGGTACCTGCAAAATCTTTTTTTAATGCTCATAAAATAATGTCATTAGTAAATATCAGTACAGTAGGTCTACAAAATAAGTCCCTGCCGTATGAGGGTCGCCAGTGGGCAGTTAGCGCCTGAGCGCTACTCGGGCGCCACCTGCCCGCATACGGAGAGGACTTATTTTGTAGACCTAGTGTACAGCCAAGTGCCAACCCTAGTACAGGTAGAGTTCAAAGTTTAAGGTGCATAAATAGCTGCTCACAGCCTTTCTTTAGTGTGGGTTTTGGCTGTCAATCTGCCCATTAAACTGTTTGAGCTAAATTTATAAGTAAAATCTCCATAAGCATAATCAATGCCCTGCTGACTGCTCTGTAACCTCAGCCTCTCACAATTCACATCACCACTTTTCAGCATTGCTCTGTCTCTTAGCATCCCTCCCTTCGCAGTCTCCAGCTGAGGAGCTGCCCGCAGACCCACCATGCCGGGCAAGGTCAAGGTACGGGTGCTGGCCGGACGGAACCTACCGGTCATGGACCGAGCCAATGACACGACCGACGCGTTCGTCGAAATCCGGCTGGGCACGGTGACGCAGAAGACAGACGTGTGCCGACGGTCGCTGAACCCTCAGTGGAACTCGGACTGGTTTCGGTTCGAGGTAGGTCATAGTGGCGCTGATGGTGTGAATTGTATTGTATTAAACATCCGTAGAACATCCGCGATAACCGAGGCTAGTTGCTCAGTGTCAAACGCATGCACACGTTAAATACATACTGCTTAGTGCTTATGCCTCTTGGTGTCGGTTGAGGTGTGAGTTTCCCGGTAAGTTAATCTGTTTCTGTTTAGATATGTTATGTGTTATGCTTTCGAGGAAGTTTGATAAGCAGTCGGCATTCTTAAATCGCCAGCTCACGCAGTAAGAATGTCTTATCATGTTAATTTTACTTACACTTGTACGGAAAATGTCTGTTCGTTGAATACCAAGTTTCCTGAGCAACTTATACAGCCTACTCGCTTTTCCATGGACAACTGGAGATACAATGATGTCTATTGATCTGCTGAGTCTCTCGCCCATCCACTAACTTTAGCTGTAATGCTCCTGCCCCATCGATCAATAACCCCACTCCATGGGGTTCATATCCCATCTCCCGGCCGTCACCGACATGCCGGGCTGTTTCTAGGCACAGGACAACTCTCTGACGGATGATATTCCATTACTGGCTGACCCCAGGGTCCTCGTTCCTTCTCTGACACCCGCTAACCCATACTTCTCAGTACTCCCACTCACTCATCCCTCCCCCGCACCTGTCTGTCTTTGTGTCTGTAGGTGCAGGACGATGCCGAGCTGCAGGACGAACCGCTTCAGATCCGTGTAATGGACCACGATACGTACTCAGCCCACGACGCCATAGGCAAGGTGTACCTGAGTCTCAGTCCGCTGCTGGCTCCCGAGCTCATCAGCCGCGCCGACACGGCACCCGCCGGGTCCGCAGGTCGGTATCCCCCAACATCCTTCCAATCGGTATCCTTCCGATCTATGATCTATTTCCTTCCGTTGTTTTTCATGCCACTCATGTTACCCCAAACTGTACTGTAATTACATATATAAATGCCATTAATGTATTGTTTTCTGTCTCGCTCCCTGCATTCGTGTTCAAAATACCTATTGGGTAATGCTGCTGGTTTACACATGGAGCCATTACGAAAGCTCGTTAGGGCTCTGTGCATTTAAATGTCGGAAATTCCGTTCGTTTGCGTTGTGTCTATTATTGATTGCAGCCATGTATTTCAGTTACAGTATTCAATATCTTCGACGTTAATCCATTACTGATTTCAACGCACTTGTCCAATGTCCATTAGCAATAAATGTTTATGTTCCCCTGACGTTTTGTTCACCGTTGCGTACGGCCACATCTCACACATCGCTTTTTATTATGCGATCTTTGTATTGTTCGCTTCTAACAGTAACCTCGCCCACAGGTGGACCTTCCGTGATCTCTGGCTGGATTCCGATCTACGATACCCTGCACGGGATCCGCGGAGAGGTCAATGTCATGGTCAAGGTGGACCTCTTCAGCGACTTCAACAAGTTCAGACACTCGTCGTGCGGTGTGCAGTACTTCTCCAGTGAGTGGACGGTGATTGCCTGGCGACGCGACGAAAGTCGATTTCATCGAACTTCTTCTTGATGGCGTTTGTTTAGGATAGAGTGGAACTAGCTAGATGTGCGCTAAAAATATGCATCAAATTTTGCTAACTATCTTAATTTCGGTTCTTTGTCCGATGCATCGTTTTGCGTCGAGCATATTTAAGTAGCAATCACCGGTAGAATGTATATTTCACCGAGCTGGTGATCGTAGTTCCGTCCCTGGCAGCGGCCCAAGGCCGAGGTTGGTTCAGCCCCGGGTTGAAGTTGACCTATCGTCTCACACCCTTGGCTCTACTGACACGGGAACGACAGGACATTGCCAGCGCTCGCGACAGTCGCATGGTTTTGCCGGTGGTTGCGTCACAAAGTATTCAAACCATCCCAGAGATGTTGTTTTTCATTGGGCTGAGTGCGTATGTGCCAATAGGGTAGGTATCGCTAACACAAATGATGCAAATACTTGTCATTGCTAGTGAATTACTAGCTACCTATTAATTGTCTTCTCTATAGTTCTCACGTGATCTATTTTACGATGCCTTTTTAAGTTCATCTTCCGTGTGCTTTCCCCTGCAGGTCCGTGTGTGCCTGCCGGCCACTGCGTGCAGGCCATGCTGGGCTTTGTGCACGAGCTGGTGGTGAACGATGACCCCGAGTACCAGTGGATTGACAAGATCCGCACTCCCCGGGCGTCCAACGAGGCGCGACAGACGCTCTTCTCCAAACTCTCGGGCGAGGTGCAGCGCAGGATCGGAGTGAATGTCATCGAGGCTGGAGGAAACGCCGTCATTGGGTGGGTGAAGGGCAGGCTGCTGTTTCGGGCTTGTGAATTACGAAAGGAGGGCTTCGACCGCTTCGTGGGTCTTATCTTTTCACGAGTTTAGAAATAATGACGTACAAAACAAGTAGATCTTGTCTTATTTACAAAGCTGATGATGAGGGATACCTAGCAGCTCTATTGATCCAGAATGTTATGATTATGGAGTGGGTTTGGTAGGAAATCATGAACTCTGGCTTACGTGTTTTTCCGCTGCCGGCTGTTGTATACCAGCAGAGTGGGCCTATCTGGTCGTTACCGGCAGATTGGTATTGGCTCGTGTGTTTTATTAATGCCCCCCCCCCCCCCTCCGAGCAGGTACCGTCAGTGTTTTGATCTGGAGGGTGAGACGGGTATCGTGGTGCGCGGGATCGGCACAGCCGTCAGTCTGGTGCGGACTGAGGCGCGCCCCAGCAGTCCCAGTCCGCTCAGTCGCCAGCCGGGCAGCGGCCGTGACCGGGACAGGTGAGACCAGGCCGTAGTCAACTCCGCAGTCCACTCCGCAGGCCGCAGTCAACTCTGCAGTCCACTCCGCAGGCCCCAGTCGGTGGCAGACTGACTGAGCTGACTCTCCCAGCTGATCCTATCACACTGCTCCCTGGACTGCACTAGATGGACTGTTTAACTGTCAAAAGAAGGATATATGATATTGCAGCTAGACGTACTTAACTAGCCTTAGTGAGCCTAGACATATTATCATATTATTGACTTCAGCTTCCAATATCATATCCATCGCATTGTAGCTTCCACATCGTAGTTACTGTATTCATAGCTCAATATCCTATCCTTCTGAATCATCCTTTCTTTGAATTCATTGAGGTAAGGTTCCGTTGATTCGCTAGTATCGTAGCGATTTGCCAGAATTTCCTTATCACGGATTCCACGCTAGCGGCTCGGAATTTTAGTTTGAAGACTTCCTAAGTCTGCCCTGGTGACTGGGCAGTGTCAATAAAGGGTTCCCCTCTTATGTTGGTTTTCTTAGGGCTTGGTTTTAGCATTCCTCTGTCCTGTCTTTGGGGTGCTTTTTCATGTCTGGCTTTATCTCACTCTGTTGCTTGGAATGTGTCTGTTTTGGCTCTGCACGTCTCAGGGTCTTTGCTCTATTTGGGGTTGTCTATAATGGCACCAAGCCATGAATGCATATATGATCATCTCTGTGCTTTTATTATGGGGCTCATAATTTTATGCTAGAGTTGGCGCTTTGCTCAATGCACTGTATAGCGTGCAGTGTGCACTGTTTCTGCTGTCGCTCTGGGCAGTTCGGGGTTCACGGGCTGGCTTTGGGAACACGCGGCGAAGCACTGGACGTCACCAGGCACGATCGGATCCAGTTTCCAACATTATTTTTATATATCTCTGCTGCATGATGTCAGTGTCCCCGCACTCCCTCACGGCTAGCGTCGCTCGCTGGCCGGCTCCGTTCGCGCCTGGTGCTTCCCCTGCTCCGTCGCCGAGTTTCTCTGGGTCTCTCTGTGGCTGTGTCTGCTGAGTGGCTCCGTGTCCTCCCTGGGTATCCGGCAGCTCTGCGGTCGAGGGCTCCACCGCCGCGTCCGCCGGCCTCCGTCCCGTGCCGTCCGTACAGCTGATGCCGGCAACTCCAGAACAGGAGCAGCCGCCGGCGACTCCGCCCTCACCGCGACCGTTCGCCGCGCCGGCGCCGGCCGCCTCGCGAGGCATCCTAGCCGCCGCTCACCAGTTTGTGAAAGACAGACTGAGCTTCCGACGTCGCGGCTCGCGTCGCACCGGCGCGCGAGCTCTCAGTAGAGAGGCGTTTAGTACACCGAACTTCCAGCCGGTGATCGAGGCTGCTGCGAGGTATGAGAAGAAATCGCGACCCGCCGGCCGTCGGCGGAGACTGACGTCGTCCTGTGATGGCACTCCGCGCCGACTGGGCTCGCTAAACTCGGTGAGCGAGGCTGCTGGAAGCGCCGTGGAAGACGATGACGATGACGGTGACAGCGAGAATCCCAGTGAGCCTGGTGAAGACACATTTGAAGATGGTGATGATGATACTGGTGACGCTGAGGGTGATGCCGCTGGTGATGATGTTGCTGAGAATGGTGCTGAGAATGGTGATGCCGGTGGTGACGCCGAGCGCGAGCGGCCTGTCATGGTGATAAGCTCCTCGGAGGACACAGCCAGCGAGACGGGCGACGAGGCGGAGCGGCGCAGCACCGACATCCCCAACTCCACGCTCCAGCTGGCCCTGGACAGTCTCAGCGCGCATGACGTGGTGTATATTTCCAGCATGAACATGTTAGTAGAGGTAGCGTCTCTCTATCCCAGCCTGAGCACCGATAATGCATGCGATGACAACGAGGAGCCAGTGCTAGATCTGGAGAGTTTCTCACAGGACTACCTAGACAACCTGGATAACCCGGTGCCATACCCAGTCAAGTTCACCCTGTACCCTGATAGTTCGGATAGTCTTTCTAACGATGAGAGTTCTGGTGTTTGTGCGCCTGTGAGTTTCTCCCTTTACCCTGACAGTGGTGATAGTCTGGCCCGTTTAACTAACACGGAGGATGACCGGTCCGGCGACGCGTGCCCCGCCCCTCATCCGTCCCCAGTTCCTTCGGGAGGCCTCTCACCGTCCTTGTCCAAACCCGAGTCAGCCAGTGACCGGTCCTCAGGGACAATGGTTGCCTCGCCAGCAGGCGACTCGACCCATGAGGCTCTCCCATCTAGCATCAGTGGGAACGGATCGACCCGCGGGGTTCTCCCAACCACCGTCAGTGAGCTCTTCCGGCATTCTGGGATCGTTTGTCGCAGTGGTGATGTTCAAACGCTGCTGTCTGACGAGAACACCCCCGCTGCCCCTCGGCTCCCTCAGCGGGACAGTAGCGGCGATATAATGTGGTGTCCGGACGACAGTCAGCCCGGCTCGGCTGCCGGTAGTTTGGAGGTTGTCTCTCAGTTGGACAGCTGTGATGACCTCGCCTCACCGGCACCGGACGAGCCCGCGTCGACGACGTCGAGCGGTGGTGACGACTGTCTGAGACGGAGGGATCTTTTCGGTCGTCTGACACCTCCACGCCGCGTTATGCGACACGTCGTATCGGCGCCAGAGGTGGTGATCGGCGCTGGTGCGCGCACCGGCTTCGCTCCGGACCCGTCCCTGGCTTCTATGATGTCTGAGGACCCAGAACTAGCGGCCCTGGCCTCGCTGGATTCGCTCCAATCAGTCCACAGCGTATCTGACGTGACGCTAGGCCTGGCTGAGGACGATCCGCTGAATTTACCGGGCGCGCCCGAGATGGCCTCACTGCACAGTGTCTCCTCTGAACAGCTGCTTGCGCTGACTGGCCTACCTGCAGTAGCTGCGAAGGCCTTGTCGCCCACAGCGCGCTGGGATGTCAGCTCTGACGAGGGCTCCTGCGATCCCGGTCAGCTGGTCCGCTCTCCTGAGATGGTGTCTCTGCTGGTGGAGTCCCCCACTCCCCCGGTGACTGCCCCCTCCCCGGACCGTCTAGTTCCCCCGCCGTCCCGTCCCTCCGGTCCCACTCCCGCCGCCTGTCCATCTCCCTCCCCCTCCCCGCGCCTGTCCGGCCGGTCATCCTCCTCTCGCGTGAGTGCGTGCGGCGCCCCGCGACAGCGCCGCTCGCCGTACCGGGCCGCGGGCACCGACCGGCGCGCTGATGGCCCTCGTTCGTCTTGCAGCGACCCGTGTGGTAGTCCCCACCTTCCGCAGCCGCCCGCTGCCGCCAGTGCCGCCTCTGTCCCCGCCGCTGCCGGAGCGCCAGTTGGAGCGCCAGCCGCAGCGTCAGTGGGAGCGCCAGTTGGAGTCCCAGCCGCCCACACGACTTCGGTAGAGGGGAGTGATTCCGGTGACAAGCTCAGCCGCTCGCTGGAAAACGATACCAACTTCAAAGGTGAGGGAATAGTAGCTGTACTGGTGTGCCACCCACGGATGTAAACGTTTTTTAAAGATTTTTTTTTTTTACATGTGGACACCTCATCATTACAATATCACTACCGTGTATAACGTATGTATTCTACATGTACAGTTGTATATTTGTACATACCTAATATCATCATCATCATCATCATCATCATGTATTCGTATGGCATCCGTTAAAACACGGCTTTTCAGCACAAGAGTCATTCCATATATGCACTGTCCTTAAGGCTAATGATCTAAAAACCTACTAAAATACTACGAATAAGCCATTTATACTCATTTTCTAAGAGATGCTGTTAAAATCCAAGTTACCTACAAGCGTATTTTAAAATAAGCGGCGGATGAGATCTATTCTATCTGGGTAAGACTAGCTCGACATTTCCGCATCCCCGCGCGGAACGCTACGACCGTGCTGGCGTGGCGAACCTCGTTCGGCGTCTCGTTCCAGCTCGCTGTTGCCCGAAACCCGAAAGAACGTCTGGCGAGCTCCGTGCGGACCCGCGGAAGTTGCAGCATTCCCGCCATTGATCCTCGCGTTTCCCTCTCGGTTACACAATCGCGACGCTGCAGCAGGTCTCGCAAGTGCGATGGTGCATGGACAGAGTTGAGGAGGCGGTGCACCATGGCGAGGTCACGTTCTGTGATGAGTCGCTCTACTCTCGGCCACTCAAGTTCAGTAAGGTGAGGCGTGATATGCTGATGACGTCGGCAGCATTTAACTATTCGTGCACCATGATTAATTATTTTTTTTAACGCGTTTTCGCTGTGTAGCGTTGCATGCTGCCCACACTGTCGCGCAATACATTATGTGTGGGAACACCAGGGCCTCAATAATCAATTTCTTGACTTCCTGTGGCAGCCGACGGGAGAATTTGGAGAGACCTATCAGAATAGTATAAGAACGTTTTACTATATTCGAAATATGTTTTTCAAACGTGAGGTTTTCATCCAAAATAAGCCCAAGAATTTTAGCGTTTGAAGTGGGGCGGAGCATTGTTTCTCCAAATTAAACTTTCAGCTCATTTCCTATTCTTCTTTGACGTGTGGAGAATAGAACGATCTCTGTCTTTTTGGGATTAATTTTTAGTGAATTTTCTGTAAACCACCGCTGAGCGTCGCTCAGCGTTTGTCCAATTTCAAGCTCCAACTGATGAATATGCTTGGGGTGACCACTGTGAATGAATTGAACGTCATCAGCATATAAAACCATCTTAGTGTCACTTAAAAATGAGGTCAGGTCATTTGTGAATAACAAAAACAGCACTGGCCCCAAAATCGATCCTTGGACCACGCCATGCGTTATTGGAGCGGTCTCCGCAGATCCCCCGCGTACTCTCTGGTGGCGGCCTCTGAGCCAGTCACTGAACCAATGAGTGTCCACGCCGTACCAGCCAAGTTTGTCCAGGAGCCGGCCATGCTGAACGCTATCAAAAGCCTTGGAGGTGTCGATCGCTGTCAGACAACCGATCTTACCCTCGTCTATGACTCGAGTGATGTAGCTGACTGCGTCCAACATCGCCGACTCCGTGGACCTCCCCGGCCGAAAGCCGTGCTGCTCCTCACACAGCACACCGTGGGACAACAGGTAATGCAATAGTTGATCACAAACGACTCTCTCAGTGAGCTTCGCCACAGTAGAAATGATCGACACTGGCCTGTAATTGTTAACATCACTTGTGCATCCCGCCTTGTGGATTGGGACCACAGTTGCGACTTTCCACTCGCTCGGGAGCTCTCCAGTAACGATTGAGGCATTTATCACGTTTAACAAATGCGGAGCTATCACCGGAAAGGTTAGTCGCAACATGCTCACTGTGATCCCATCCTCACCGCACGCATTCGATGATGACAAGCGCTGCAGTGCCGAGTGAAGCTCGGGCAGAGTGACTGGATGCACCCTAAATGTCCCGCTCACCACACGAGAGGGACAGGGTGGCAGCGGTGGTGCAGTCGTTCTTTGGGCCACGAGTTCAGCAGATGCATATGTGTGGGGCTTTCAGAGGCGCCGGAGTGGGACCTGCACAGTCGCCGGTGAGGGCCCTCTTAAGCGCCGTTTCGGGGCCCTCAGATACACTGGTTTATGGCCATCACAGATATGCGTGGGACCCTTAGAGCTGCTGAGCTAAGTGCTGGTGCGGGCCCTTCATAGGACGACAAGGGGACCTCAGAGGTCGGTGGTGCCTTCAGGAGCGCCGAGGGGTCCCTTTAGACCGGAATAGTATTCTCAGACGCCACTGGGACCCTCAGAGTCACCAGTGTGGACTCAGTGGAGCCGTCAGAGTCGCTGGTGTAGGGCCTTACGAGCCTCTGATGAAGACCCTCAGAACTGGGGGAGAAGGGGCCTCAGAAACGCCGGCGTGGGCTCTCAGAAACGCCGGTGTGGGCTATCAGAGGCACTCCTCACAGTTATTGGGGCCCTAAGAGAATTGGTGTTGGACCATCACAGGCGGGCATGCAGCTCGTAGAGCCGGCTCCTAATAGGCCGGTAAGGGCCCTCAGAGGCCACCAATAGGCCCTCAGAGCCGAGGCCACCAATGCGCCCTCAGAGCCAAGGCCACCAATGGGCCCTCAGAGGCCAGCAAGAGATTCTCAGAGACCGTGAGGGGCAGGCTGGTAAGGGGCCCTTGGCGGCCTCTTAGGGCCTTAACTGGTGACAAGGGCTCTAAGAAGCCGGCGTGGGGCACTTACGAAGATCTTAATACGCCACTTAGGGGCCCATGAGATGCTCTGACGAGCCCTGTGGGGTCCCTTTGAGACGAAATATGGCCAGCGTGGACCCTCAGCGGCCGATTGGCGCCGCAGGGACCCGAAGGGCCCCCTGGACCCGATGGGAGGGGCACGCGCCCCCTGTGCCCCCCCCCACTTGGCTACGCCACTGGAATCTATCATGCTATGTTTAAGATCTCTGCAAGATGTATCCCCCGTTTGCTGACACTGCACAGAAAAGGCAAGCTCGAAAGGAGGCTTAGCGGGGTGTTTGGCCCCTTATCGAATATCTAGAAGATATCATTGACTTGTCACCGTAAAGGAATTGTGGGCGTCACACGTTGACACTAAGGGACACCGTGCCGAGTTGCGCAAGTGGAAGCACAGTGCACACCGAGTAACGGCCACCAAATGAGTGGTACGAGTTGAAGTTAGTCGGCAAAGTGATAGTGGTTACATTTTGGTATGCCGACGGGGCTCTGCTTGTCAACTTTCTAAAACAGGGGCGCACAATTGATGATGTGCGTCCATTCGATAGACATCGAGGAGAGGCTATAGGGAAGCTGACATAAAGTGTGCAACTGATCCACGGCCACGCACCTGCGTACTTGCGCGGGGTGACGATAAGTTAAGTGATGAAATGTGGCTTCGAGTTGTTGTCGCATCCACTTTTTTCCGAACCCTGCACCCTCTGGTTGCCACCTCTTCCCCAACATAAGGAAATTAGCAGTGGCAGCTTCGCTGACTGCAGGGAGACTAAAGCAGCCGTCTTGGACGTGGGATGGGTCCAAAACCCAATTGATTATGGAGACTTTGAGGGCTCTCCCGAAGGCCGAAGCGCTGCGCGAAATGTGTTTGTCTTAGCGGTGGTTATTTGAATAAATGAACTTTTTTGTCTAATAAGTCGATGACGTATCTCTCTGCTTCTTCATGGTCGGGCATGTAACTTTCTGAATGCCGGCTTGTACCGTCATCCTTTTATTTTGGCAAGCAGGTCTTTCTAACTATCGTGGTGTTTCGAGACCTCGTTAGTTGTCGAACCCTGCGATTGGCGTGGGCCTTCAAAGCCGTCCCTGGCCCCGTAGCCGTCTTTTTCATTCGGCTTGGGCCATCAAAGCCGTCCCTGGCCCGTTTCAGCACAGCCGTGCTTTTAAGTCGGCGTGGGCCTCTTTCAGAATGGCGTGCATTCCTCCGACACTATTATAACTGCCTATTTAACTGCACGTTTTGTGCATGGAGCTCGTTGAGGACCTAGACTTCCATTTTTTTTTTAGATTTTGGTTTGTCTTGTCAATGACCAGGGCGAAAAAATAAGTGGCCGAAATCCGATGAGAAAGGCAGATTTGGGGGTACCCTACCTTTTAAGCCCCGCCACATGTGGCCGGCCGCCGCCTTTGGGCCCTACCAATCATTTTCGGAAAACGACACCCCTGCAAGTCGCCATCTAATGAACTTTGACGATCTCGAATAGCTCAAGTGGTCTCAAGGGAAAGAAGCTCAGCTGATTTGCTGTTTTGTCACCTTCTCATGTTGTGTAAACTGTCCCGAAATCTATATGCATGTGGCTATTGGATTAAGTATCTGTGACGCATCATCCTACCACAAAATAATTTAATGAGTGCCATGTTCTGGGGAAAGCTTAATATACCTAGTTCTGCGGGGCGGCCCAATGCATAGACGGAGCTAAGAAATCAGCAAGCACGGATACAAAAAAAATGCTGATGTTCGGTAAAAACGCAACGGCTTTCATGAATCCTGCTGAGCTAACAGTCTGACATTTGATTTCTTATGAAATTACAGTCAGAAAAATGAACCGACCATGAGTGATCGGGGTTAGACACGGACCATGAAAGAACTTCGGCCAAGCATGCAATCGGGCAAACGAACAGGCAGTTAAACGACACGAATTCGATAGAAAAGCAAGGAATGTGTCAATGAAGCATGCAAAAATCAACTGCAACATTCTTTGAGCTGATGATGATACTTCCGAGCAGTTTACCGTGTACCACATATGTTCACAGTCAAAACTTAATGTTCACATGCACATGACAGCTACAATCATTACATTTTCATTGAAGCAAACGATTCATTGCAAAAGCAGTCGCGTTACCATGAAAATATGAAGAAAACCATTACACCGTCACCCTGCACCCATGCCTCCTCCCTGACATTATTTTCGACATCGTCTGGTAGCCTGCGCGCCCCAGCATTTTCCCGACGAAAGCCGCCCTCGCCGCATGGGTAAACAATCACAACACGATAATT